CCTGTTACTATGAGCCATTCATGTACCTCAAATTTTTAATAGAATAGGCTTTACAGGAGCTTGTTTGTAACTAAGGGTTGTACAGAAGTAGGATATTTGTAACCTGGGACTGCCTGTGTTTCAAGGAGGTGGGAGTGATCTATTGTTTCAAATGTTGCTGGAAGGTCAACAAAGTGAGAGCTGAGAACTCACCATAGGATTTAGCAGGGTGGAGATCATCGATGCCCTTGACAAAAGCAGTTTTGATGGCGAGGTAGTGATGAAAGCTTGATTTGAAAGCTTTGAAAAGTGGAGAGGCATTGGTGACAGCTGCGTACAGAATGCTTTTGAGAAATTTTGGTAGTAAGGGAAGAAGACAAATGGAGTAGTAAAGCTGTAGGAAGAAGTAAAGTCAAGAGAGGTTTTTCACTTGTTTTTAAGACGGAAATAAAATATCAGTAAGCTTACATGGTGATGAGAATGATTCAATATATAAGGAAAAACTGAGATTGGAGAGAGGGAGGAATAGTTGGAATAATATCCTTGAGTAGGTTAGAGATCAGATTTATTGTATAAAAGTTGACTTTAAGTAAGAACATAGGCAATTCATCTATAATACCAAGGGAGGATGGTAATGAGAATAGATGCTAGTAGTTGGGTAGATGCAGTGGTGAGCGTTTTTGGAAGTTCTCATCTAACAATTTCAATTATCTCAATGAATTAGAAAGCCAAATCTAATCTCAGCACTTTTTTTCACCATTCTGTAACAACTGACAATGTTGACCACGTCCTCAATACTTTTACTTTTAGCCTCTGTGACACAGCAAGTTCCTGATATTCTTCTTACCCCTCTAATTCTTTTGAAGAACTTTATCTTCTTACCCCTTAAATAGAGGTGACCCCCGATTGCTTGTCCTCAACTCTTTTTTTTCCATATATATCACTCGTTTAGTGATTATGGCAGACATTACTAGTGTTCACTGTATCTGGTTCTCATCTTTTATGGGCACACATAAGACTGTATTTCCCATGGCCCTTTCAGTGGGCAAGGTCACGTGACTACTTCTGGCCAGTGCGCTGTGAGCAGGAGTTTCACTCCCAGGCTGAAGCATTCAATTACCAAAGTATAACCCTCCACTTTCTCTATTCCCCTTGCCGTTGTAACTAAGAAGATCCCATGTTCCAGATGGTACAATTACAAGGTGGTGGAGCCTTTGAAAATCCGGAATGCTGAGTTGCCATATGGAAGATAGTTGCTCTGGAGAATCAACCAAGACAGTAAATCTTGGCATAAGGAAGAAAATGTTTCCTACATTGAGACACTGAAACTTGGGGTTGTTATCCCAGCATAACCAGCCTAATTGAATGGTGCACTATGCTGAGTAAAATTCAAATCTTAAAATTTTGGATTTAGGGCTTCTCTCACTCTTAAAAATTATTGAGAAGCCTAAAGAGCTTTTGTTTATGAGGGTTATAGCTATAGATATTTAATATGCTGGAAATTACAATTAAGAAATTTTAAAAAATTTACTAACTTGTTAAAAATAATAATAAATCCATTATATGTTAGCATAAAATATTTTATACAAAATAATTATATTTTCAAAAAAAATTTAGGGAGATGAGTGGCATTATTTTAAATTTTTTGCAAATCTTTTTTAAATCTCTGGCTTAATAGAAGACAGCTGGATTCTCGTATCTGCTCCTGAATTCTATGTATTTACATGTTGTTTTACTTGAATTATATGAAGAAAATCAGGTATTACACAGATATGCAGTTGAAAAAGGAAGTATTTTAACAGCCTTGTCAGATAATTGTGGATATTGTTCTTGACATGTCACCAAAATTGGACAAACAGTAGTTTCTGAAAGGTTAGTTGTGATGTGGAATCTGAAAGCATTATCAATGAACTTTTCAGACTGTTACATTAGCCTGATTGGTCTATCTTGTACTTTGAATGGATCTTTTACCCATGCCTGATTTTGTAACATCATACCCAGGTAATTTGGAAAATAGTGGTTCACTAAGTTTTGCAGCTCTCCCAAATGTTGACACATTTCATTACATAACATCACGTCTGGTATGTATCATCAGAAAAGTTTTTCAGTTCTGAAAAGCTATCAAGTTCACAGTGGTGAATACACGTTTTCCAGAATTACAATTTTTGCTTGAAATCTCCAATTTTATCATTGCAACAAATACTGTTAGTTTTTTCCTTTGGAAAATACAGGCTTACTTCTTTCATTTTGGGGAAATGTCTGCCAAATACCTGCATTTTAACAACCATAGTTTGTCTGCCAGTCATTCTTTCAAGTAAAAATTGTGTTCTATGAAAAAAACTTACTAGTTCAATTTGCAACTCAAACAACCACAGAAAGGCTTTTTTTCTAGGGACTTGACTGTACTTCAGTATGCAGGAAAAAGTGGTATTTAAATCATACCCCAGCATTCCCTTCTCCGACTAATCCCATCCTATCCATTTTGTTGTTCAGGCCCTTGCCTCATTGCCTTTGTAAGCTCTTTGACTGCAGGTACCATGTCTTTTTCTTCCTTGTAATCTCCATTGTATTCAACAGTCACTGTTGCTGAGTCAATAAATATCGTATCTTCCCAAATAGACTTAAGTAAGTAAAAATAGTGACTCTATGCTAGTCTTCTGTGAATCGCTAGCACCTAAGTCTTGAGCACAACAGAGGACAATGGTGGTTGTTTATGATAATAAAGTTTGTATTTTACATTAGGATGGTCAATAAAAATACGGGCAAGTTACACTTTTGTCACTTTTCTTTCAATACCTATTACAGTAGTGCAGCTTTGTAGGTTATGTTTGTATACTGGCAGGAAAAGCACACACACACACACACACACACACACACACACACACACACTAGAGATTCCCAGCCAAGGAAAAGCACACACACACACACACACACACACTCTCTCTCTCTCTCTCTCTCTCTCTCAAGATTCCCAGCCAAGGAAAGAAACTTAATGGGAACCAAGGCGGTCTTACGGAGCAGGGCTGAAAGAAGCATTGTCAGTGTGCGGTGACATGAACTCTGCCCAAATTAGCTGAAAGAAAGTCACTATTCATTTATTTTCAGCTTTACACACCACTCTGGAAGAATTATGCTTACAATCTATCTGCTTTCATTACAATGGATGTTTACAAATGCAAGGACCTTTTAGTTCTAGAAACAAACTCCGTGTCAACAGGGCCATTCTCAAACTGGGAGGAGAGGAGCAGAGTCAAAGCCCAAGTGTTCCCTGAAAAATCTTCCATCTCCAATTTCCCAAGGTTCCAGAAAACCCACATCCCCTCAAGAGATAACCAAAAATACTTGCTTTTAGAATTAAGCACATAGGTGAGAAATGTATATGTGGTAATTTTTACTATTACGAAGAAGGCTGGGATATAGTTTAAATTCCTTGAACCCCATGTGAGGGAGAGTTTGGCTCTTATTCACTGTTTAGGACAGCAACTGATCAAAGAATCAAGTTTTTTTGTTAACACTGCTCTTGAGCTCACTGACAATCTAATGTCATAAGTTTTTCCTCTATTTTGGAAATCACAGATTAAAACAGTCCAATTACAAATGGCAAACTCTTTATACTATAGTCAATTAAGTTATAAAATATTTATAAATTAGTTATACTCAAAAGTGTTCTCAAGATGACTATGAAAGGTACATCAAACTATCTTTAAAAAACAGCTACTGTATACTAAGAATATTTCTGACAGTAAAGAATGCTTTTTTCTTTCTAAAAGATTAGAATAAGCCTTTGCACTCTTTTTTTAATAATAGCTTTACTAAGATCTAATTCATATACCATAAAATTTACCCTTTAAAAGTCTACAATTCAGTGATTTTTAGTATATTCACAAAGTTGTATAACCATCACCACTATCTGGGTGTACAACTATCTAATTTTAGAACATTTCATCACCTCAAAAAGTAACTCTATACCTCCATTATCAGTCATTCCTCATTTCTCCCTATACCACCCTCACCCCTAGGAAATCACCAGTCTACTTTCTGTCTCTACACATTTGCTTATTCTGGACATTTCATATAAGTGGATTCATACAATATAAGGCCTTTTGTGTCTGGATTTTTTCACTTAGCATATTTTCCAGGTTCATCCATGTTGTAGCATATTATCAGTACTTCATGGCTTTTTATGGTCAAATAATATTCCATTGTATGGATATGACACATTCTGTTTATCCATTCATCAGTTAATGTTTGGGTATCATGAATAATACTTCTATGGACATCTGTGTACAAGTTTTTGTGTGGACATATGTTTTTAATTTTCTTGGGTACATACCTAGGAGTGGATTAAAGAATGCTTTAAGGATCAAGTCTGTGCAAGGCTGAAAATAAGTTCAGAGATTTTATTCACAGCTTTGTCAACCCTTAAGACCAAAGGGACATTAGAGGGGGAAAATGAGTTCCCAAATAACAACAGGTACGAAGTCAAAATAATAGGTAATAATAGTCTAGAGAAATGTTTATCTCATCCTTACCTCAGTTTAAGTGAACTTTAATATTATGAAATTACTTTAAAATATATTTAAAAACACAAGAAAACAATACTATAAACGTATTTTTCTCTTTCAAGATATAGTTTTTAGGTTTCCTTAGAGTAGAAATATTTGTGTTTATTGGTTTGATGATGTATGCTTTCAGTAAGATACCTCCTGCTCTATGTACATATAAACAACTGTTACTAAAATTTCTAAACTACATTTCAAAGATTCTAAGTCATCTAAAATGAAGAGCATTCAAGGGCCTAAAGTAGTTGAAGAACAGAGATACAGAAGCATAATCATTTCACGGAACTAGACAAGTGGTTTCTTCTTGATATAAGAGACCAGGATCCTGAACACTGGCAGACAACTTGGTACTTTTCACCTGAGGACAAAAGAACTAATGTCATTTGAAAAATTCTGGTTAAAAACTATTTTTGTGTTCTTAATGAACAGATAGCACATTGAGAATTAAAATGAGGTGAGTTTTTTTTTTTTTTTTTTTGAAAAAAAAAAAAACCGTTCCAGTTCTTTGAGCCTTTCTACTTTTAAACTCAGACATACAGTAAATTACAGTAGGTGTGGGAAACAAAGTAACTTTCTCTGCATGGTGAACATCTCTCCTCCATAGCCTAGTTGAACCTGTTTTCAATATACATTTGGTACTAATTTCCCTAAGGCTCAAAGAATAAAAGCAAATGAAGTCACAAGCTCACATCTAGGGTACTAAAAACATTAAAGCCCTTCTATGATGGCCATCTTTTTTTAAAGCCTGCTTCTGCTTGAAGAACTACTTAAATAGCGTTGAAAGAGGCAAGCTTTCCCATCCATGATGTAATTTGCCTGGTTATATTTACATAGTGTTCTATAAAGAGAGATTTGAAAATAGGAAAAAACCAAAAGTTTGTGCAAACCTACAGCTTTTACTTTTTATTACTAACACACAAAGTACATGAAAAATATCAGTTATTACTCTTTAACTTCATGGTCTACTTCCTATTTCCAAATACTTTAATTAGGATAGAAAAAGTAAGGCAACAAATAAATTCTATCCACTGCACTAAATTCTATACACTACACTAAATTCTATACACTACACTGATATTTCAATGTTTCATCTACAAAGAGTCAATAGCAAAAGTCATAACTATTAAAAGGAGGAAAACAATTATTTTTTAAGTGCCTCCTTAGTCCATAGATTTTTTTTTTTCCAGAAAGACAAAGTAAATGTGCTGCCATAATTATTCCAGAAAAAGAGTTACTTTTTTCTTTTCATAAACTTTTTTGCTTCTTTCAAAAGCTCTTCAACATCTTCCTTCTCTTGGTCTTCCTTTCCTGGCTCCCAGTCAGAATCTTCATCTGTTGGCTGATATTCTTCTTCTTCATCATCTATAAAGCTGTCATTCAGGTCGTACTCATTGGGTTGACCAACATCATCATCATCCTCATCTAAATTGCTTCTCACTGAAAACAGAAGATTGGTATACAATACATCAATTGCCACTCAACCTGGGATGAGAGGCGTCTAACTGTAAAATGTCTTTCTGCATCGAGAGGACTCAATTTGACTTAATGCATAGCTAACCACTAGAAATTTCTAGAACTGGAACTAAAATTACCATTTGTTATTTTTCTAACTTTTTCTATCATGTTGCTCCTGAGAATAAAATGGCCCATGAGATTCATAATAATGGTTCCTTACCGATGTTATAATCCATATTCAGGCTATCCTACCTCCCAGTGTGGTAGATTGTATTGTCCCAGTTATTTTCTGCCCGTCCCTGTGATATGATTGTATTTCCCCACCCCCACTGACATCAGACTTGGCAAAAGAAATGTGAGTAGAAGTAGTGTGTGTCACTCCCAAGCAAAGCTTTAAGAGACTTTCTGTGCTTCTGCCATTGCCATTTTCCCTCTTCCACAAGAACACAAATGTCCCAGATAGGGTCTGATCCTTCTGCATGGATTCTAGAAAAACACACATGGGGCAGAACCACAGAGAATCACAGTCAATTGCAGCTGTAACGTGAAGGAGAAATAAAGCTTTGTTGTTGTCAGGCACTGAAATTTTGGGACTGTTTGTTATACAGCAAACCTAGCAAAATCTGACTGACACAACAGGGTTCGTCAACAGATCAAGTGAAAAAATATGAGTTTTAAGTACTTTGGAAAGTTTAGTTTTTTAGGTCTAAGACATTCTCACAATTTATGATTCAATAAAAGTAGGATTCCTATGGCAACAGCCACTACAATTTATAGATTTGTAAATCATATTATAATAGTAGAATCTCCTGCCTCTAAATTTATTTTTTTCCTCATCCCACTCTGTTTTATTTTCCTTCCACAAGTAACCAACAGAACTGGTTTAAAATAAGGCAGTGAGAGACTCTAGAAGATGTGAAACATTTAAGAAAACACTAGGAAGATTCTGTCTGAAAATATTCTGAATGGCTGAGCACAATCCCTGTGATGCTTTTGTATATGCTTTGGTTAACTTCTTCCTAAAATGTCCTCATGCAATATATAGATATGACTTAAATGTCTTACTTATCTAGTGCTGCTATAACAGAAATACCTCAAGTAGACGGCTTTAACAAACAGAAATTTATTCTCTCATAGTCTAGGAAGCTGGAAGTCTGAATTCATGGTTCCAGCTCCAGGGGAAGGCTTTCTCTCTTTTGTTGGCTCTAGGGGAAGGTTCTTGTTATCAATCTTCCCTTGGTCTAGGAGCTACTCAGCACAGGGACCCTGAGTCCAAAGGATGAGCTCTGCTCCTGACTCTTCTTGCTTGGTAGTAATGAGATCCCTCTCCTCTCTGCTCGTTTCTCTCTTTTATATCTCAAAAGAGACTGACTCAAGATACAACCTAATCCTGCAGACTGAGTCCTGCCTCATTAACATTACTACCTCCAATCCTGCCTCATTAACATCACAAAGGTTAGGATTTATAACACATAGGATAATCACATCAGATCATAAAATGGTGGACAACCATATAATACTGGGAATCAGGGCTTAGCCAAGTTGACACACATTTTGGGGGGACACAACTCAATCCATAACAGACAAGGAATTTGATGGAAACAAAATGAGAATGATGACAAAGAAAGTAATTTATCTGTTCTCTGAACTCTGATAGCTCAATATATTCATATTTTTCTTAATATTATATTTTTCTTAAATTCACAGAGAATTTGAGATAGCTTAGAATAATAATGAGGTAACAGTAAAATACAAATAAAAGTAGAAACTAAGGACATGAAAAAGCACAATATAAATATATCAACTTCAATTTTTAACATAATATAAATTAAGCATAAATTTTCTCCCTGAGTTTCTTGATTAAAATGAGAGACAAAACTTAAACACAATTCTCATTAGCATAAAGTTGGAAGCGTACCAGTTCCTAAGAGAAATCTTGCATTATATTTATTTGTATACATATCTTTATCTCCTGTATCTTAAGGGTATGTTTTATGTCTAACAATCTCAACTCTCCATATTGTTTTTATGACAGAATGTATTTAAAAAACATTTGGAGGGCAGTTTGCAGTTGGAGAAGGGGATGAGGAGGAAAGAACATCAATATCTCTTTTCTTACCCATTTTTTCTCTTGGAAATACTTCATATACAGAACTAATGATATCTCAAAAAACAATTTCCTTTCAGACTCAAAAATTATCTTAGTAGATGTTATGGATTGAATTGCATCCCCCCAAAATGTGTGTCAACTTGACTAGGCCATGATTCCCCAGTATTGTGTGATTGTCCACCATTTTGTCATCTGATGTGATTTTCCCATGTGTTGTAAATCCTACCTCTATGTTAATGAGGCAGGATTAGAGGCAGTTATGTTGATGAGACTCAACCTACAAGATTAGGTTGTGTCTTAAGGCAATCTTTTTTGAGCTATAAAGACAGAAGTGAGCAGACATGAGGACCTCATACCACCAAGAAAGCAGCACTGGCAGCAGAGCGAGTCCCTTGGACCTGGAATTCCTGCATGGAGAAGCTCCTAGACCAGGGGAAGATTGATGACAAGGATCTTTCCGCAGCCGACAGACAGAGAAAGCCTTCCCCCAGAGCTGCCCCCCTGAATTTGGACTTCTAGCCTTCTAGACTGTGAGAGAATAAACTTCTCTTTGTTGAAGCCATCCACTTGTGGTATTTCTGTTATAGCAGCCCTGGATAACTAAGACAGTAGATTTACAAGAAAAGTCAATGTAAAGCTGAAACAACTTCAGGTTCTCCTCCAGCTTACTGGCTGCTCCTTCTCAGTCTCCTTTGCTGGATCTTCCTCATCTTCCCACTTTCTCAATTTTGGAATGCCCCAAATTTCAGGATGGGAGCTCCTCCCTATTCCATCCCCTCCTATATCCTAGATTCCCAAATTTATATCTTAAGCCCTGACCCCTCACCTTGAATTCCAGACTCATTTATTTGACATCCTATGTATTATCTCCACTTGGAAACTTGACATTTCTCGAACTAAACTACTGAGTCACTTCACCCCAATCTGGCCATCCCCTTATCAGTCTTTAGTATATGACTTCTCCAACCTTCTAATCTTCCAATTGTTCTGGCAAGAAAACATGAAGTCATCCTTGAATCCTTGCCACCCCCATTCCATGATTGCAAATCCAATATCCAATATGCCAACCAATCCTATTGGTCTATTTTCAAAATATACCCACCACTTCTCACCATATCTACTCCAACACCCTGGTTATCATACCATCACCATCTACCTGGACTATTGCAATGTCCTCCTAACTAGTTTCCCTGCTTCCATCCTAGTCTATTCTCCATAAAGAAACTGGACTTATTTTACAACATCAGTCAGATGTGACTTCTCTGCCCAAAACCTTCCAATAGCATTCTGTTTGACTTTGAATAAAATCTGTAGTCGTTACCTGTAGGTCTTGGCCTACAAGACTCTACACACCTGGACCACTGCTAGCGTTTCTGATCTTATCTCCTGCCATTCTCTGCTTACTCTCTTTGTTTCAATTCTACCCTCTCTTTGCTGCTTCTTAAACAGTCTAAACATGATCTTCTCCAGGGTCTTTGAACTCACTATTCCCATTGCCTAACAACTCTTCTCCCAGATAATGACCCGACCTGCTCCCTCCTTCAGACCTCTGCTCGAATGTCAAATGATCGGAGAATCCTTCTTTTATCATCCTATCTGACATGGCACCTTCCCCCCACCCCATACAGACACCCTTGCTACTCTATCCTCTCATACCACTTTAATTTTCTTCTTAGCAGTTATCATCAACTGACATCATATAATTGTCTACATATGAACTGTCCACCTTGGTAAAATTCTACGAGAGCAAGGCTTTGTCTCTATTGTATCCTCAGCTCCTACAACATGTAGAAGGTACTTTATATACTTGTTGAATATATGAATGGATGAACAAATGAACCATCTGCAAATCAACTGCTGAACAGCTTTAGCTTTACAGAAACTTTTCTTATTATAACCCATGCTTTTGATCACTAGCCTGTCTGTCAATATAATAAATTACATAAAAGAATTTTATTTAAATCCTGCTAATTGAGGAGGTTTAAGCCTCATTGAACCCTGAAAATATTTAGCAACTTACTGAGCAGGCTCATCTGTTGAGGCAGTAAGGCCATATTTATCAGAAGAATCCCATCTGTTTCCTCACAAAGTTGTTTATATCTGCCAAATTATCACTCACATTTGAGTATATGTCTTTTAATAAGAAGTCTGGAATCTATAAAACCATCTATAACAGAACTCAGTGGAGCTAGTGGTCAAATTTCATTCACTTTATTTTACAAGAACAGTTACTTTGTGCTTTAAGTGAAAGGACCTGAAGAGTCAGTCATAGCATAAGATAAGGGCAAAGTCAGCTCTAGAGTCCAGCTCTATGTCCTTTGTTAGTGGTGCCATAGAGATGCTTCTTAACAGGGCTTTAAACGCTAACTTGATTATCTCTGCGGAACCAATTAACTAATGGACCCTCTTATAGTAAGTTCATTTAATGACTTTAAAAATTACACACGGCAAAAGCCATCTAGAGGGAAGTTTACTTTATGGTTATTATTATTGCTAGTAGAATCTGAAGGCATTTTGGGAGAAATGTCAGTGTTTGCCTTTCTGTGTAACAAGGCCATGGAGATAATGAAACTTTGCTTACTTGGAATATGCTCTGAATCAGTGGGCTTGCTGATCTGAGTTATTACATGATTTCCTGACTCACAGGACCAATCTCAGGAATCAGGGCTCCTTACCTCTGAAATAAACATGGTTAGCACCTAACCTAGGTATAACATGTCTATCTTTTCCATAAAAAAGCAAAAAGGATACAGAGAACACAGAAAGCAGAAAAACAAGACAAATGCATGTGGTCTCTAACCAGGCAAGCTGAAGCATTTGCCACAGTATCTGGATATCTGGATTTAAAGTGATGAAACTAGTGAAGTGCACA